GAACGTAGATATTTTGAAAAACAATCTCTCAAGTTTTTCCACCGTTTTTTTAAATCGTCACCTGCAAAGAACAGGTCTACAATAAACAAGAGTCCTGTTTCCATCGGAATTTTTATTAAAATAAAATTATATTTTTATTTACATTTAACACTAGCAGAAAAACATTATTTCTAAGGTATATTTTCTATTTTTTCTAGATTTTTAACTACCGGCGATTCATACAAAACAATTGGTCAAAGCTTTCGATTAGGATTTTCAACAGTTGCGACTATTGTTGAAGAAGTTTGCCAGGCAATATGAAATAAATTGCAGTCAATTTATATGCCAGAGCGCACAATGGAATTATGGGAAAAATCAATTTTGGGCTACAAAAACTTGTGGCAGTTTCCTAATTGTTTGGGAAGTATAGACGGCAAGCATGTGAAAATCAAATGTCCACAAAAGAGCGGATCAAACTACTTTTCTTACTTAAAAAAATTTTCAATTGTTCTAATGGCGATTGTTGATCCTGAGTATAAATTTACTTGTATAGATGTAGGAGGATATGGTAAAAATAGTGACGGTGGTATCTTCGAGGCATCAGTTATGGGTAGAAGATTTGCAAATGGCACTTTTAACATTCCTCCAAGTAGACCTTTACCAGGTGAAGATGCTGAAGTTCCGTGTGTTTTGATAGGCGATGAAGCCTTTACACTCAGTACTTATTTAATGCGACCGTTTCCCTATAGACAATCAAGACATGACTATAATAAAGAAAATTTTAACTATCACTTGTGTATAGCGTGTCGCGTTGTGGAGAACGCATTTGGAATACTGGCACACAAATGGAGATTGTTTTTTAGACCATTAGAAGTGAAGGTGGAAACAGCTACAAAACTTGTCAAAGCGGCTTGCGTATTACATAACCTTTTACGGATAAAAAAAATTGATCAACAATTTGTAAACTTACAAGAAACTATTGATAGATCAGTACAAGTGTTGAATAACTTGCCGGTTGACGGAAGAAGAGCAATAAACCTGGCCTTTAATATACGTGAAAAATTTGTCACATATTTCAATAACTTTTAAATATACAATAAACTAAAAAAAAATACTGACCTGTTTGTTCTAATTCCATGTCCTTCGCAATTTCATCTCATACTTTATTTTTTATACGTACATTCTTGTAGTCGCAATGTGATAAATCATATAAAATTTTATGTTTCTTAACACAATATTTTTCACGCGATCTGCGATAAATACAACTTGTTGCGTTTGGTCGCTAACGCTGTGGTTGTCGATGAGGACGCGAACGAACGCTGCACAAGTCTACTATATCGCTAACAGGTCGTAACATGTTCGGTTTCATTAGTTTCCGTGTGACGCATCTGATCGCCAACGCTATCGCTATCGCGATCGTGGTCGTGATCGCGTATATGTGTTCTCCGCTTAAAGTAATGATAATTTGTCATGGTTTTATAATGTCAAAATTAACAATTTTTGAGTTATGACGGTCTTCTTCCAAACCGACGATATGTCTATGTTTATTCCATCGTTTCGTCACCCTAGAATTATCTTGTGATATATCCCAAAACGTCAATGTTGGGGAAACTGGACTTTACGGATTTCATTACATTTTTATACTTTCTTTTAATTATATTATCAAAAATCTTTACTCTTCATAAAGATATATATAAAATGTAATGCAATTCGTCGTCTGTTGTATGAATTTTGAAGAAATGTACTGAAAATTTGAAATAATTGTTTTGGATTTAGAACAAATTTCGACTTTTTCTTATTTCTAGAAAAATATATGGGATATTGCACATTTTTTTATTAACTAATTAGTCTATATCCACTTGTTTTTCGAAATAAATTCGCCTAAGGAATTCTTTGATAAAAAAACAAATTATATGAAATAATTTTAATTCGAAGTAATGAAATCTATAATTATTAACAAGAATTAATAGATAAATTCATTAATAAGTAATTTTTCTAAAACAAAAGATTTATTTTTTTATATTATTTATTATTGTATTTTCTTAGTTTATTCAATTATTACTGCACTTTTTTTATTTGAAAGCAGTGCATTATAAAACGCCTTTTCATCTTCATGTGGCACATATGACACAATTTCTGAAAGATGTTTTCTCTTTAGTTCCGGTATTTTAAACTCCTGATTCGCCACGGGAAGTTCTTCTGAAAAGTGATATGGAACCACTTTTATTTCATTTTTCTTTCTTGATACAAAGCGATACATTTTCGCTTTTGTAAAATCACCTTCAAATTTTTCTCGAAATTCGATATTATTTATATTACCTTTATTATAGATTATATGTTTCAGTCTAGTATAAGGAATAGTTTTATAATTCAAAGCTTTTGAAATCTTTTGAAAATCGAAATAATCATTTGGCTGCATTTGAATGACTTTAAATTTTAATTTCCAAGATGAGGGAATCAATAATAGTTGACGAACTAATGAGATGGGACTCCAAATTTCAATGTTGCGGATATGTTTCTCAATTAAACTATGTGCATTATCGATTTCTTGAATATTTCCATGTCCTGGTTCGCTGAATTTTTGTTCTATCGTCTCGAGATCCTTACTTTTTATAGAGTTTAAAAAATATTGTAAGGCGAAGGACATTATCGAATTTTTGTTTTGTGGAACGCAACTGTCAGACCACAGAATAAGGCTTTTGAGTTGAGGATTATCAATCATAATTTGCGTTAGGATTTTAAAAATTGCAGCAGCAATATGATTCGCTCCACGACCTGCTGAAAATTCGTGCCAAAGTGCATTGTAGACTACTTTTGTGTTACTTAAATGCGCGGTTATGTTGTAGCACGAAAGTTTTGTCTTATAATAGAAATTGGAAACATTAGCTTTTGGAAGTGAAAATGTGTTTTGTAAATCAAATGTCACAATCCCAACTTGAACATCATTAAGAAATCTTGTTCTATCTCTATCTCGTTCGTTCTTGCACAATTCCTTTTGACGGATGTGGTGATCGTGTTTATTAATGTCGTCTGGGGAAGGTTCTTTAGTGGTTTTGAATAATTCACATTTATCACAAAGATCTTTTTTAGGTTTAAAAAATCCAATGTTAAATTCATTATTGAAGATATGAGAATATATATTAAATTTTACTGGAATTTTAGACGAAGACCTATAAAATTCATACATTCTTCTGAGATTGAGTCCTCTATCCAAATACTTTTTACTAGTTTGTGCTCTACAATAGTGTGATTCTACTGCTGGGAAGCTACCAATATGAGCCCTTACTTTGTCTTTTTGCTCATCACTAATAGTTTTTTTGCAATGTTTGCCATGTTTAGGACTTCTTGGTACATTTTCATTCATATTATTTTTGAAGAAATAGTAGATCCGTTGTTTGCTTATATTCAATGTATTCAGAAAATACTCTTGGCAAACTCGAACTTCCACTCCGGATACATAGAAATAGTATTTATAGCTGTATGTTTTCTTACTAATTTCTTCTTTTGTTCTTTTGCGTAGCGATACAATACGTTTGACATGCTGTGAGTAGAAATGGAGTTTACGTTTGTCATCCAAATTCCAAAATTGATTATGGATATGATCCCTCTCTTCTCCATTAATTGCTTGTGAACATTTGAAACTACATTTTTCCGTATGACATGTCGCAGTTTTTACTTTCTTTTTTGGTTTTAAATTTCCTTTACAATCTATGTATTCTTCTCCTCTTTGCCTTTTGTTCTTTCTTATATTTTGTTTCCACGAAGAAGGATTTCTTTTACGTTTCTTGTTCAACTTCTTTATTCTATCAATTCTATCTTCATCAACTACGTTTTCATCAACACTTCCATTAGAATTATTTTTCTTATCTACATCTAATCTATCATCAGCATCGATTAGATTTGAGTCATTTAATTGGTTACTAAAAAGTGGCAAATAATAGTTAGAAAAGTTAGATTAGAATAGGTATTATTGTTTATTTACCTCAAAAGTTCGGAACAACAACTAGGCGATATATTATTATTAGGAAGAATATAACTCGTCGTACTAGTCATTATTATGTTTTGTTCTTATTAATATAAAAAACACTCAAAAATATAACGAGAATAATAAATGTCACTTTTTCAAATTTAATAACGCAGGAATTGACAGTTGACAGAAATGCACATAAGGGCGCCCCTGGCGGCGGAATCAATTATTAAAACTACGGATTTTTAATGTCAAAATCCCCAAAACAAATTGAATGGATTTAGCACAATTTTGTTATCGTATAGAGTGAGAGGATTTAGAACAAAATATGACGGACTTGGTTCATAGAACATTATAATTCTGAGTTCATATAAGGAACAACATATTTTTCAAAGTATTAACTAAATTTTGGATATAGAACAAATATTTAGTAAAAATTTGGATTTGAACCTAGATAGGTAATTCTAATGTCTGAATAGATTTAGAACAAACTATTGTTGCTGAAATTTTCAATGTAATTTTCTTCAAAAGTACCAAAATGTGATTTAGAACAAAATTATTCTGGGCTGACGGTTTGTCTTTTCTAATGTTAGATCTAGGAAATTGATCCTGTTATTCTGTTCTGTTTTAATTGTAAAAGAAATGGTTTCCTGCAAGGTGTTGATGTATTCATGTAGTACCTTGACATTGTTTTCTTCTGTTGTATTAAGAATTACGAAAATGTCATCTACGTATCTTTGCCACATAAGAATACTGTTTTTATGTGGATTTCTGTCACTCATTATCCATTCCTTTTCCATTTTATCCAGAAAGATGTTAGCCAACATTCCGCTTAGTGGTGATCCCATAGGGAGCCCTTGCTTGTAAGTATAGAAACGGTTATTAAAACTACAGAAGTTTTGTTTTAAACATATATCAAATAATTTGTATAGATTATTACTATCTGTTTCGTTGCTAATTTTTTCTTTGAGTATATGTTTAATAATTTTGAGTGTATCTATGGTTGGAACATTCGTGTATAAGTTTGTAATGTCAAATGACAGCATAGTGTAGAAAAAAAATCTCTTTCATATTCCGTAATAAAAATGGGGATTGCCATTTGAAAAAAATATCGATGACGCCATAACTCGGTTAAAAATGGCGGAAAAAATTTGTAACCTACACCAAAAAGTAGCAAAAAATTTAAATCTTTCAAGGATTTTTCCAGAAACCGTTCATAATGATTTTATCGCCTATATCCCTTACTTTACGGACATACTGTATAATCGGTATGTCTTGGTCTATTACAACGTTGTGGGACTCAAATATCTGATTCAAATAAAATAATTATTAATGATGAATTCATCGGCACGGCAAAAGTGCCATGGAAAACTCGCAATAGCACCAGGTCGGGAAAGTGCTACGGAAAACTCGCAATAGCACCAGGTCGGGGAAGTACTACGGAAAGCTCGTAATAGTACAAGGTCGGGAAGTTGGATGAAAATTTATTTTACAAAACAAAATCTAAGTCCCACAATTGCAAGACCAAAAACAAACTTACGATGAAAATGAAATTCGGTTATTTCTAAAACTTGTCGGAGATCTAGCAATATAACTGTTCGGAGATTTTTAGCTGAAAACTGTCGAAGAACTTTGGAAGACTGTTGAAGATTGTGGAAGACTGTTGAAGACTGTTGAGGACTGATCCAGCCGGTGGACACGCAATGGTAAAAAGTTTATCCTGCTTTCAGTGGCTCTATAGTTGTGATATGTGAACTAAAATAAGGAGCGTGGCAAATCAGCGTGTTTAAATAAATTTAAAATCCTACTGCTGTAATAGCTTTATGATGAAATAATATATGAAATTAATGCAAGTGCGTAAAATATTTCAAAATATTTATTTAAGATAAAATAAGTGGTATAATTAAGACATACTTAACACTATTGCAATAATTATTAAAATATATCAAAATAACAATAATAATAAAATTAATAATACAAATTGCAATAAAATATAATATTTTATCTTGAAAATTTATGAAAAGAGCGTAAATAAAAAGGGTATATATAGCATTAATAAAAAAGCTGATGTTGTATCATGTCATGATACAACTATTATCAAGAAGAAGTTGAAAGTAATAACAGAACATAATAATAACAGAGCATAACAAGCGTTTAACGCTTAGAACGTTATATTTTTCAGAAACAAGTTTAAAGCTATAAGAAGGCTTAATTATAACAGAGCGTAAATAAAAAGCGTATATATAGTATTATGGGTAGTTAAATAAAACACCCACTTTACACAACTAAACTTTATTTACACCAATAATAACTATTACAGTTTTTGTTTCCTTTTGCAATCCGCGCTAAATATTTTAACTATGTCGACTCTGTTTTCTTCGTAATGCCAACTGTTAAAAACTTACAACCCTCAAATAACTAATATCCCTAACACGCCTCCTCAACGAATAATTTACATTTTTGTTTTTTTTTTTAATTTTTGTTTCCCTAACGGTTTGGTTAACAAATCTGCTACATTTTGATCGCTGTTACAATTTTTTCCGAAACTCTGGGTAGCGCTGATTAAAACACTTCTTGATGGTTTTTAAATGATTTATTTAGTATTGTTACAAACGATGATTTATTTAATAAAAGTAATACAATTGCGATTTAAACGAAATGCTATTTTAAACGAAGTACTACGAGAGAGTGTCTTTATTCGAGAGAGAGTCTTATTCGAGCACGTAGGCTCTTTTATAACATTTTTTAAACCAAAAAACTTGTATTTTTAATACACAAATATCGCCAAAAATAAAATTACATAGGCAACCCTACTTGCATTTAATTTAAATAAAAACAATTCTTAACAATCGCTATTAACATATTTCACATTAACCTCATTATTTAAACATAAGTCTTTTACATAATGATATCGAATGTCTATATGTTTTCCCCGTTTCGAATTTTCGAATGTGTTAATCATTGATATTGCACTTAAGTTGTCCACAGTAAGAATCACTGGCTTAATATCACTTATAAACTCTGATAAAATACCTTTCAAGTTTACTATTTGTTGGGCTGCAACGCTGGCGGACTTCCATTGCGGAAAGAGCCACGCAGTTTTGCTTCTTTGAGTGCCATGCCACTGGATTTCCCGCGTGAAAACAAACAAAACCACTAACACTTTTTCTTGTTTCTTTATCACTTCCCCAATCTGCATCGCTGTAACCTTCCAACTGACCTTTTCTTTTTTCAAAACAAATCCCTAAGTCTTTCGTATCGTTTAAATACCGCAATACTTTTTTTCCGACCTTCCATACCATAGCGGTTGGTTTATCCAAGTATCTACTCAGATATGATACTGATGCCCGTTTGCACCGCAATAGTTAAGCGTCGCTTTACGCTAAGCTTTCCTTAAATTTTTAAATCGGTTTGCACCGTTGTTTAAGCTACGCTTATTCTCAGCTTAATTTAAGCGTTCAATATTCGGAGTTTACCGGTTAAGCGTAGCTTTAAATTACGTGAAAAAATTTATTTGTCATTGTGTGACGTGAAAATTGTGAAAACATGGATATTTTTGACGACGATGAAGATATGTTTGGAAATGATGCAGAAATATTAGAGATTGTTGATTATGGATTTCCTAAACGGATATATCTACGGCGCAATCATTTTGAAGATTTGGATAACCTTACATTTTTTCAACGATTTCGTTTAACAAAGAATACTGTTTTAAACATTTTACCACTAATTGAAGAAAAGCTTGAATATCCTACAGACATGTACGTAAAATATTATGTAAATAATAAATATGTAATTAATTATTGATTCTTTTTGTAGAAATAACAGCTTAAGCCCTATGGACCAATTATTAACATGTCTACGTTTTTATGCTACAGGTGGACATTTGTCAACCATATCAGATTTTATGGGGACTCATGTTTCTACATCATCAAGAATTATTAAAAATGTTTCAATTGCATTAGCTAGTCTATCTCATGCTTACATAAAAATGCCAACAGAAAATAATATTCAAAAAATACAAAGAGATTTTTATAATATTGCATTATTTCCAAGTATTGTAGGATGCATTGATGGCACCCACATAAAGATACAATCTCCAGGTATATTGACATAATTCAATAAAAAAGAACCTTAACTAAATAAATAAATAATATATTCTAGGAGGAGAAGATGGTGAGATATTCAGAAACAGGAAAGGCTATTTCTCTATAAATGTCCAAGTTGTGGGAGATTCTGACCTTAAGGTGCAAGATATTGTAGCACGATGGCCAGGATCAACACATGACATGACTATTTATTCAAATAGTAGAATACGTGCTAGGCTAGAAGGTGGAGAATTTAGAAATGGAATTATTCTAGGTAAATTGTAAAATGACATTCCTTGAACCATTAACATAATTACCATGTTATAGGTGATAGTGGTTATGGTGTAGGTAAATATCTGCTAACACCATTACAAAATCCAGAAACTGCAGCAGAAAAATTGTACAATAAGGCCCATATCACAACACGAAACTCTACGCAGATCATTTNAAGCTATGGAACGCACCTACTAAATCCATAGATCAGTGTTTCTCAAAGTTTTTTCTCTCGCGGCACATTTTCGAAAAAAATTTTTATTGAGGGCACACCAACTTTAAAAAAATTACTTTTAACTATAAATAAATAAATAGAAAAGAATTTAAAAGAAAGATTTATTATAATATGAATATAAGAACAATATAGAAACATTTCCTATAATAAAATAAAAAATGAGTAATAATTAATAGTATAAATACAAAATAAAGAAACCTGTAATAAACATGTATTTTAGTGAGAAATATGTGATTGACGATGTTTTGTTATCTCTTCTATAGTTTTATTGTTGAGAGAGCAACTCTCAATTCGTCCTCAACATTTTTCAATTGTGATCGTTTATTATTTTTTATGGTTGTTAATGTTGAAAATCCTAATTCGCACAAATAGGATGTTGAAAACTGGAGCAAAATACTTATTGCTCTTTTAAATAATTTTGGATATTCATCATGAATTGATATCCAAAATGTATCGAGTGGAAGTTCTGAATATTTTAATTTTAATGTTCGGTCAGAAGAGAGGGAGATTAGTTCTTCCTCCTCTTCAAGACAAAGATTGCTGTCTGACGTATTACCAGTAAAAGGGTTTCGAATCCAGTCATGTTTTTCTATATGGATGGATGGAAAATATTTCTTTAAAGAATACACAAAGTTGGAACATCGAGGAATTGCAACCATTGCACCATTCATTCCAGATGATCCGGATACAGCTCCCCCACCACCCGATCTTGTATTATCTTCTACTTCCATACCCTCTACTGAAGGTTCCATTGCAGGACGTTTGGCTTGGGAATCAAATTGCGCTTGATTACGTTCTAATACACCTGAAAAGATAAAAATAAATTATAGATTTCAATAAATATACAATTTATACTTTTATATAATTTTCCTTTCCAGAAGTACAAATTCTTAATGCGAAATCCATTGCTTTTAAAATACTTTTTCTTGGTAATGGGTCCATATTTATGCAGTAAATTTTGATATTGTACAGATTGACTTGCACTTAAATTTTGTTTTTCTGGATCAACGATTGGGATCGGCGCCATACTTACGTTTTAAAGAACCTCCGTTCCTATCTCCGAGTAACTCCCCCGAAAGTTTGCTAGAGGTACTGGGTTCTTGAACCTGTGTTTCAGGGACAATATCATCTTCGTTATATACTTCAGAATCAGCATTATCAGAAGAAGCATTATCAATGACGTTATTATCCCGTGAAGTCTCAACTCCACTTTCGTCGTTAGAAACTCCATCGTCGTTGTCTCCGGGGGATTCGAAGGTGGTTCCGGGGGGATACTCATGATCGAAGTCAATGCGTGCTTGTTGTTTAATATGTTTGTAATAATCTGACTTAAGAAAATCTTTATAACTAATGCCTGTTGTATCACGTAATAATCTATACTCGTGCGCGGCTTTAGAGTTGATATACGCATATAAATATTGACCACGATTTAATTTCTTTTTCTTTGCGCCACCAACCATTGGATATACAATGCCAAATAATTGCTCAAAAATATTTTTAAAAGATAATCCAACAGCGCCAATTAAAGAATGATAATTATTATTTATATGAAAATCTACTATAAATTCGTCTATAGCATCTAAATCGGCATTGATAATGTCTTCTTCCGATTCAGCGAGTTCATACCTTAAGTCGTGTAGTAATGCAATGAAGTCGTCTTCGTCTATAGGATCGCCAATATTCAAATTATTACCAGGACCAAGATAACGATGACCAGGGATGTTCAAATGCACTATCACGCGGAAAACAGTCATAATTGCCTGTAATAATAATTGGTGTTCTAGTTATTACTTTATCTGACAAGTATTTCATTCTCGCAGGACAGTTATCACCGCCGAGTAACATTTTTAAAGTTTCTGTAGCGGCAGGTTCGAAATTCGGTTCGTTCCAATAAAGAACTCGTCTATTAACACAGTCTTGTAACGGAAAATTGCAATGCTTATTGAAATCGTGTATTTGTCCAAAATTAAAGTAATAACATAAGACTGCATCAACAAAGAAATTCTTACCTGCGCTCGGTGGATAAAAAATTGCAAAACAATTAATATTCTTGTCTTTCTAATACATCGTATAACGCAACTAAGAATTGTTTAACAACTTCAGTGTCTTTACCCATTTGAAATAATAATAATTCGTTTAAAATATTTACGCTTTCATCTACAGAGTAATAATATTCAAAAGGATCTGTTAACGTGCAGCCGTAACTACAATTTATATCTTTTACATATTCATATATTTCAAGCGTAGACATTTTTATAAACGAATAATTAAAAACATTAAAGAATGGATCCAATTTACGTCTATCAATTATGAATCGGTACTTGGACTCCATCCATACCTTTGAATCTAACACTAATTGTACGGGTGAGAACGGATGGGCCTTTAAGAATAAAAGGAGTCCTGGGTCTCGTGGCTGTCTATCCCTGGGACTTTCTCCATTTCCTTCTGTACCGTCTCCATTAGGTCCAATAACTGCTCGTACATCACATGCTCCGTGGAAGGTATCAAAAACTGCGACCGGATCGTCGCCGTCTTCCACCAGTTCTTCGGATCTTGTCTCAAACAAGGCTCTATGGGATAAATCTTGATCTGTACAACATACTCGCCGTCCTTCTCGCCCGGCGATTCGGTAGAGTATAATCTTCCGTCCTCCCGTGCATAAATATATTGCTGAATGCTCGAGGAAGTGTCTTGTAATGTTGGGCGCCGAAACAACGCGGCGAGCGCTCTTCCTCCTGAACTCGTCGAGGGCTGCGATTCGCGCGCACCGACACCTTTTTGAGGTATAGGGACACGAATGAATGACGTGGTAGTGTGAGTTGTGGCTTGCGACAATGAAGATTTCATTTCGGAATTTAATCTTTTGTAATCCCGTAATAATGTTATAAAGTCGTCCGGTGCTTTCATCGAAAGTAGGTCGTATGATGTCATGGAGTATAACGTTTAGGATAGCTGCGCCAAGAAGGAGGTCAATAAAATGTTCGAATTTCGTGCCTTGTCGCTCTCCCATTTTTTGGAAATACCGAGCCAAATTTTTTTGCATAATTGACTCTCCTTTTGTCCTCCAATTGTAATTAGCTTCCATGCTGTCACATAATTCTTTGAATAACCGTGATTTTAATGGTCTGCTTTTAATATAATTGACTATTTTTATCACATCTTCTGTGTGGAAATTTGATAAATAAAACAAATTAAATTCAGGTCAGGACATTTTAATCTAAATAAATTAAAAAAATGAAAATTAATATAAATATAATAACAATGTAAAAAGATTAAACTCACTTTCTAATTTATATAATATGGAGACATACGTCTCCATACCTTTACAAAATATTCCTGACCCGAGAGGCGTATAACCCCTCGGACACTTATATCGAGGCAGCAGCCTCGACGCAAATATCGACATTTGCACCTGCTAAAATTAAAGATAGAAATCAATTAAATCAATGAAATTAAACCCCGAAGGGAGACTTACTTTTAAATGGGGAGGTAGAAGCCTTCCCGCTAATTCTTAATAATTATTTTTATAATTATAATTATATATAATTATTTTGGCTGAAAAAAATATGAATTTTAAACTCAAAACTTAAACTAAACTTTAATAATTTAGAGCTCACCTCTTTGGTTAAACATTTTCAACGAAAATGCTGTAAAACGGTTTTGCGTAAGGCTTTATACCCGTTACAGTATACCCAGTTATCAAGTGTTTGTTTTCCTAAGTAAAGAACTTGGCTGCAACGTTCTTATTCAGCAAACCCCTTTATCAAATGTGGTTACTTAAGGAAAAAGAAACTCGAGTAAAATTCTATATAATAGACGTTTAAAAATTAAATTTTATTTAAAAAATAATTCGCAACGATATAGAGAAATTTTATGATATATCTTTATTTGATATCCAAGAATTATGCGATGAATCGAATCCCCATTGTTTCCACGATTGATGGCAGTTCTAATAAATTTGAAACGTATACGGGACTTGATGCATCTCAAGTTTTTATCACAAAATTAATCGGTGATGTTAAATTTATTTATAATAAATACTTGAAAACCGTAAAACCAATGATACTTTTAACAACCGATGAGCAACCAAATTTCAAACTTCAAAATTTTATTCCAATATTCTTTCATAATTTTAGCGGTTACGATTGTCATTTATTTATTAAAGAAATGGCTGATGCGGATGACGATGGACTTAATGTATTGCCGAACAATAAAGAAAAATATATTAGTTTCAGTAAAAAAGTGTTGGTCGATAAAGTAATCAATAAAGATAAACCCGTTGAAAATATCTTTTTTAAATTAAGATTTGTGGATTCATTTAGATTTATGNGTTGTTGTTTCTATATCAGTTGTTGTTTCTATATCTGTTGTTGTTGTTTCTAAAAATTAAAGCTTTTACGTATCTTCATTCATTAAATTTCCTTATTGATGAAGTTTAAAAAAATCGTTGATACTATTGAAATTTTTACGATTTTAATCATCAAATTTTAAAGTTTTGGTGAAACTTCATCAAATAAATACAAATTATTTATTAAAACTTGATGATTAAATGAAATTTTTTGAATTATTATTAAACTTCTTATAAAAAAATTAAAATTATAACAAGTTAGATGAAGTTGATTTGATTTTATCAAAGTTTTCATGACGTAAACCCAAAATTGGGATAAATATTGAAGTTTTTAGGTGATTCTTTCGCATTAAATTCAAATTTTTACTAAAACATTAAGTTTTTGATGAAGTTTCATAAAATAACATCGCTATCATTGAAGTTATTAAGATTTCACTTTTTTAATTCTCAAATTTTAAAGTTTTGGTGAAGTTTCATCAAATAAATACAAATAATTTATTAAAATTTGAAGATTTGATGAAGTTTCAATTAAATTTTTTGAATCATTATTAGACTTCTTGTAAAAATTAAGTTTTGTTAAAGAATAAGGCTTAAAATTGAAGTTTTGAAGTAGTTTTCTTGTA